CAGCAGGAAAAGCTGTGTAAAATGAAAGCATTGCCCTTCCTAGGGCTTGCACACACAGACAGAATCTCTCCCTCAGACAATTTGGGTTGGAAGGGACCTTAAAGATCATCCCAATCCACCCCCTGCCRTGGASAGAATCACAGAATGAACTGGGCTGAAAGAGACCTTCAAGATCATCAACTCCAGCCTGTGAGCAAACAGCTCCTCATCACCTAAACCATGGCACTGAGTGCCACGTCCAGTCTGGTTTTAAACACATCCAGGGATGGTGATTCCACCAGTCCCTGGGCAGACAATTCCAGCATGCAATCCCTCTTTCAGCGAAGAATTTTTTTCCAACATCTAACCTAAACTTCCCTTGGTGCAGCTTAAGACAGTGTCCTCTTGTTCTGTCATCATCAAGGATGCCTCCCACTATCCTCCAAGTGCTTCAATGACCATCCAGCCTGGCCTTGGATACTTCCAGGGACCCAAGGGCATCCCCAATTTCCCTGGGCAATCTATTCCAGTGCCTCAGCATCAGCTCAGATGCTTCCCAGGAAACCCAAACTGCCATTCTGTGTCAGTGCAAGAGCTGACAGCACATCCTTGTGCTGCTTCACCACATCCCACAGAAGAGCTGGCCRTTCCCAAGCTTTCCATCAGCCCTTCCCTGCTGGAAGAGTCCCCCATYTCCCTTCCACGCACCTCTCCCTCCTCCAGCGGTGTGGATACAGCCGGCTATTGCATAACCCTAATTATGTTATTGCTGTAATTGCGTCTGCCGTCTGCAGCGCATGGATTCGTTACAAGCTTTTCATATGCTAAAATGATTATTAATGAGTGCGGTCCCATCCCAGCGACAAACAACAGCCACGACAAAAAGATCTTTTGGAAGGCAATTAGCTCCATGCTAAGCTGCCTAAACCATGGGCTGTGCTGGGAAATTTCAGGCTGGGGAGGAAGCACTGAAAACGTGGTTTTTCTCTTCTCTTTTGATGAGTTAATGAGTTACTGAGTGGCAGCAGGCGCAGTCAGTCTTGTGAAACAGCTCCACTAAGGAGCCTTTCCCCCTCGRTACCGAGGGGAAGAACATTTATCCCTGGATAAACAGAGGGGAAAATGTATTCCCGGGTCACTGTGATGTGTTCCCGGGTCACCGTTGTGTTGCTTTCCTTGGGGAAACAAAACAAAACAAAATGAAACAAAACAAAACAAAGCAAAGCAAAATAAAATGAARCAAAACAAAGCAAAGGCAACCCAGGGAAAGATGAGGTTGTGGAAAGAACAAGAATAATTATTTTTTTGAGGATAAGAGGGAGCACGATGTCCTGGTGCATCCCAAATCCTTCTCCATCCATCAGTGGCTCACTCTCCTGGGCTCTCTCTCCAGCTCAAGGCAGGCTGGGGTGAATTGCTGTGCTCATGATACCTGTAAGGACAGGTCCCATGGCCCAGTTATCCTCACATCCTCCTTCTGAGCTGAAGTATTGCAATGATGGGCTTACCCCAATTTCTCATCATTATAATTGCTTATGAAACCAAATGAACAAATTTCCCATCACACCAGAGGATTAAGTGCCTTGAGGTAAGAAGGGAGGCTGCTCCTGTGATTCAGGAGAAACTCAGACACATAAGGCTGGATTTTTTGATATTCATCTAAGGATCTTCTGGAAACAGCTGGGGAAGGATCCACTTCCCCAGGCAGATAAGGCAGATAAGCAAAACTGGAGTACAGAAGTAGCAGCAAATCTGCTCAGGACTCCACTCTTGACCCTTTGAATTTGTTGCTTTGCTTCGCTACTTTTCTGTCTCATTCAGAGGGAATCTGGTTCAGTCTTGTGCTCCCAGCCTCCTTCTGGCTGTGGAATTGTGACTCAAAGACCTGTCCCTGTCTCAGGTTAGACTGGTGGCCCTCCACAGGTGACAGAGCACCTCGCCATCCCTGGCACTGCCTCCCAGCCCAGCTGAGAGCTGTCAGCTGCAGGGGTGATGGAAATTCCAGCAGTGGAAATGTGAGGGCCTCTGGGGTCTGGTGACAGCTTCTCAGTGTTTTCTGCATTAGGGGTATGCAAATGGCAGACAGGCCCTAAGTACCTCTGAGGATCCRGGCTGCAATGGAAGGTAAATAAAGACTCAGCAGGGATGTTGTCATCTCCCTGCTAGGATGCTTTAATACACACATTCATCATTTCTTTAGAGAGCACAGTGATGGCTTCATTAGAAACTCTTCTGCATAAATAAGTCACTGGGCCATGGCAGAATTTGGAGGGAAGGATATTATGTCTTCTCCCTCGACTAGATTGGGCTACTGGTACATGTTTTTTTCCCCATTTTTTTTCTTTTATTTTTGCCACAAGACACACTTCCTACAATACCTTGGTTTACTGAGTGCTCAAGTGTGTGATGCTCAGGACACTTTTGTGGACACTGAGATCACATCCTGAGGGTCTGTCATGTCCAGAGAAGCTTCTGAGCCCTGAAACTCCAACTCCTGAAACTCAGATCAGCATCCCATCCTCGGTTTCAGGGAGCATTTTGTGCTGCTTTTCCTTGCTTGGATGAGTCATGGGAGTTTTGTGCTGCTGGGAAATGTTCTCTGCAGGGCTGCAAAGGGATGGGGAGCTTTCAAACCCTCGTGAGTCACAGACTCAAGGGTCTGTTGCTACCAGGTGGACAGGAAACAGGACAAAACTCGGAAAAGGAGTGGGTAAATGTGTGTCTGCCCCACTTTTTGGGAGCACCCTGTCCCTACACCCACTGTCCTACCACCACCTGGTGACAGCTCAACCAGGCAGGAAAAGGAGCATTTTAACTGCTTGTCAGAGCCAGACTGGCACCTCTGATTTCCTCCACCGACCCCAGTTTATTTTTGCAGTGATGAATCCCCTTCTCATTTCACCCATCAGGAGGRTGCAGATCCAATATTCATGAAAAGCTGGGATCTTCCCCGTGGGCTCTTCTCAGGCACCATAAATCAATGCATTTCACTGCAYTGTGACCTGTTTTCCTCACAAATCTGTGAACTGTCCTGGCTGCAGATGGATTTAGGTTTTTTTCTGATGCCAAGTCACATTTCGCTTTTTGACTCTAAGATTCCTATTTTTTTGACCATAACATTCCTTGTTTTCTCAGCAATGCCATGGATGCCCCCATTTCCTGACATTTTCTCTTGYTCATCTAGCACAGATCTGATTTTCTCCAGCAGGTGATGCCTAGACCTGTTTTAAGTTTTCCTGGGAGTGGCAAAAGTCTAAGAAATATTTTTTTTTCATCCTGCTCAGTATCTTCTCCTGGGAGACAGGTCCTCACGGAATTTCCAGATGGGATTTCTTTACTCACAGGCAACTGTCCAGGTCCACTTGTAGATAGAGGATTAGGCAGAGTGCAAAGAAAAACAAACCYACACCACTCTTCACTGGRAATGAGAAATATTCTTCATTCTCATTCTTCACTGGGAATGAGAAATATTTAAACCATGGGACTGAGTTAGACTTTGGATTTTTGGCTGGTCCTAAGCCCAGAAGACAAAATGCCAGGACTCCGGGGAGAGTGATGTTTCTTTGTGCCTGCTGAAGCTGCAGTRAAATTAATGAGGTTTGCTTGAGTTTTTACGATGACACAGAGTTTAGCTCTGGAAAAAGTCAGGCAAGAAGGACCTCTGCCTGCTGTGCCTCCCTCTCCCAAGGATTACATCARCATCCCACCCCCAAACCCAGGATATCAGCAGGAAATCAGGGTGGAAGCACAGGGCATAAATCCAGAATGAGCACAGCTGGAGCCTCCTGGTGTGGGAGGGTTCCCCCTGTGCTCCTGCCCTGTTCTGTCCTCCACAGGAGACTCCAGCAGCTGCTCTGTCACGGGGAGCATTTTCCCACTCATCCACCTCCAGGATCCTCATCCACAGCACTTCAGTGTCCAATTTCTCCGCAGTGGCAAGCAGCCTCCATCTCAGCAGGTGTCTCCACGTTGTTTACAGGACACCTGTCAGCTCTTTTGGCTCTCCATCCCCTCTGCCTCCTAATTATAAAATTGTGGATTGCTGCAGCTACGGGCTTTTTATTTTTTTCTTCTTCTTCTTCTTCTTTTTTTTTTTTTTTTCCCTCCTGCACAAAATGTCAAATTGCAGAAATTAAAAATGTAAATGATGGTGTCTAATTAACCAGTTGACAGCAGAGCACAGCTGCGAATGACAGTGACTGATTACCTTCTGCAAACCTTGTCCTCCAAGACCTGCCTTACCCGGGGGAACGAAGGACATCAAAAATAGCAACTTCCTTAAAGAGACATCACTCTGCAGATGAAGCCTGCTGGGCAATGGTTCTGGGGAATCCAAATCCTTTGGATAAACCCCCAGTCTTCCTGAGCTCCAGGGGAATGGTGTTGACTCCTAGGAAAAGCAGATTTGTCCCAGTCAGACTGGAGTTGAAGGCTGTTGCCACAAACTTAAGGCCAGCTTAAAATATAGGGGAAAAAAAGAGATGCTGAGCAGAAATGTTGGGACAAGCTTTGAGTCCCAACAAGGGACAAACAAACTCAAGGACTGAGTGGGGAAAGTGGGTGATGTTAACAGTGGGGACAGGTGTACTGGTGAGAATGGTGCAAGCAAGAATACAAATATTTGGGGTTTTTCTTTGCATGGGAGTGAAATCCTGAGCTTCAGTGGGCAGCAGGATCTCTGTGGGAACAGAGGCAGGGCTGAAAGCCCTTGAAGGCCTGACAAAGGAATCCAGCTTCAAGCCAGCTCCTACTTCTCTGATGGCATGGGGAAAGTTTGCAGGATTCCTTTTGAGGCTCCAATCTCAGACTGGGGTGAATAAAACAGTCTGGTGTTCAGGATTAGTGCTTCAGGCATTTCCACCTCTCTTGCTSTAAGAGTGTGAGCAGGTATTTATTTCACTGATGCACCACAAGAGCCCAACACCAAGTGTGTTTTTTTTTTTCTCCTTTTTGTTTGTGGATTCCATCTCTTGAGCTCCTGCCCTCCCCACTCAAGAAACACCCGTGTTTGTGCCCCTCAGGTACTACTCAGACATCGGCAAGATGCCAGCAATCAGTGACCAGGACATGAACGCTTACCTGGCCGAGCAGTCCCGCATGCACATGAACGAGTTCAACACCATGAGCGCGCTCTCCGAGATCTACTCCTACGTGGGCAAGTACAGCGAGGAGGTGAGAGCCTGGGGGCACTTCTGGGGGGCCCTGGGACAGCCCAGCCACTCCCAGGACCCAAAGGTGTGTCACTGATACCTGTCTGCAGGGTGAAGGGTTTCAGGGATGAATTAGGGTCTGGAAGGGGGCTGGGATTTTGGGTCTCCTCATTACCCCTCTGTCTAGATCCCTGCTAGTTTTGGGTCTCCCATTATTGGTAATGGGAGGCTGGTTTGCTGATGGTCAGATGGTCAGCCCTACATGAGCTCTGCATCCAATGTGCCAAAAGCTGTTTGTTTAAGGACTGCACCCAATGTCAGTCCAGATACTCTAAAACACCCAAAACCAATCCAACACAGACTTTCAGGTGTCCAGCACAGTTCTGTGCATTGAAGGCCATGTGAAACCCCTTAGGGCACCTCAAGTGGCATGGCCAGGTGATGGATAAAGCTCATAAATAACAGCTCTCCGAGATAAGAATCTATTTGATTGGTTGCARTCCAGAGGTTTGCATTGAGTCAGTTCAAGCCCAAACTGTTCCCTGGTTCCCTCCTGGCTGACTGACCTGCTTTGCATGATCTAAGCTAAGCCTAACACCTTCCTTAGAGAAAGTTAACCCTCCTCTGCTGCTATAAAATTCTGGACTCTGACATTTTAGGGGAAAAAAAGATCTCTATCACTTCTTCCTCTCTCCTTTTCCAGATTCTCGGAGCCCTCGATCAAGACGACCAGGCTGGGAAACAGAAACTTGCCTACAAACTTGAACAAGTCATAACCCTCATGAGCATAGACAGCTGAGAACTGTCCTGCCAGGGACACCCTGGGAGGGATAAACCAAGTCGTGCCTCACTCAAGATCATCATCTTTACCAAGTGCAAGTTTTGATGGGCTGTAAGCAGAGCCACCCGAACAGCGCTCCCCTCTCTCTYTCTTTCTTTCTYTCWCTCTCTCTTCCTSTCTCTCTCTTTTCCTTCTCTTTCCAAATCTATGGACAAAGCGACAGAGCCCCAGGGGTGAAAAGAAAAGACTGCAGAGGAACCTTGACTCTGGGGCCACAAAGACATTCGGGTGGAGCTCTGCTTTTCACAGCTTCCCCTCTCTGCCTTTCGCCCTAGAGAAAAACTATTGAAAACACACAAAAAACCCCCACCAACCCTCCCCCCGACATCACATCCTCACTCTGCAGAGGTGAAATCGGGAGGTAACTTCTGTCATGCTGCTTTAACTGCCCTCCAAGGGCTGTGAGCCCTGGAGTGGACATGGAAATGAACTCAGTGTTACTCAAGTGTCCCCGAGGGGAAAGGGAAGGCAGCCTGAAGGGCTCCAGGAGGGCAGAGCCCATTCAGCTCCTCTTCTGCAGAGCCACCTCAACTCTGCCTCTTGATAGCCACCCATTGGGAGAGGAACCCCAAGGCTCATCCTGCCTGGGCAGGAAAAGGCTCCAGAGGGGACGAGGAGACCGATGCTGCCCTGCCCACGTGTTTCGTATGGTTCTTCTCATTTTTCCCAGAGCCGCGTGTCCCCCTCCGTCGTTCCCGTCGTGTCCTGTTGGTCGTAGCACTGCAGCCAAACGCTCTCTCTGCTCGGTGGCGTCCTGTCAGTGGTGCTGGTGGTGCTGGTGGTGGTTCTGTTCCTCCTGGCGATGGACAGCACAGCATCCCCTTCGTTCCCACCTCGGCCAAAGGCTTTGTTTTGTTCCAGGCAAGGAKCTCAGCCTCGAAAGAAGAACCAAGAGGGACTTTTTTTGTTTTTCAAAGTTCTTTGTCCTTTCCATTTCGTTTCCTCAACTGGAACACAGCTGTTGTTTTCCCACAGTGGAATATCAGAGGGATTCTGAAGGGCTTGCTGTGAAGCGAGGTGATGCGTGGGGCTGATGGAAAAGCCTTCCTTCCCAGCCGCTCCTAAGAGGAAATGTCACCACATTTTGGAAGGAAATCTTGGAGGAAATCCAAATGAAACACTGCAAAAAATTCTTCTACCTAGACCTCTCCAGATGAACTGCCTGTCTTCTGGAGGTCTCCAAACTGCTGTGAGCCCGTCTGCCTTTTGGTGCCAACTCCTGGCCTTTCYCCTTCTCCACTTCTGGAACCAACAGGCCTTGCTGAAGGCACAGTTGTTGCCTGGGAAAGATTTTAYTTCTCTTTGCACTTCTTATCCCCTCAGAGATCGCTGTCACTATGGGAYTGTTGTGGAGAATCACCCTGTCCCTGTCCCATCCTCTGCTCAGCTTCTCCAGAACAACATTTCAACTTTTTTCATGGCCAACCAAAGGGAGTGAGCTCCTGATCTCCTCTGCCTTCAGCTGTTCCATTCACATGGTTCCAGCCTGGAGAACACCATGCTTAGAGACCATTTGGGGTGTGGAGAACCTTCCCTGTGCCTCATGGAGGCAAAGATGGGTCAGCAGAGCTCCCTGGCAGATGGAGGAGGGGCTGGAGAATCACATCCACCTCACCCCATCGTCGGAGCCACAGCCTGGATCTGCTTTGCACCGGGAGGGAGGAAGGGCTGAAGGCAGGGTGTGTAAATTGATTACGGAGCCGGTTGGTTTGGGTTTGTTCCTGTCTCTTGCCATCAAACCAGAACCTGTGGGGAGTGACAGATCCCGAGGGGGTGCGAGGGGGGATGTGGTGCAAGCAGGAGTCAGTCAGTCCTTGAAGGARAGTTTCCTTCAGCCAAGCAGATACACACCTAGGCGAGTCCAAAACCACTCAAAARAACAGCAGCCCGAAACCGGGCGTGTCTGTGGGGAGAAAATCACCAGATCCAYGTTGAGACAGCAAACCTAGGGACACGTCTTGGTTTTAAACCCCCAGACATTTCTCTCTTGATTCCGATTCCGATTATTTTGTGYGTGTGCGTGTGTGTCTGTGTGCGCGTGTGCGTTCCTTCCCTTCGTTTTGGTTCTGCTTGCTTTTCTGTTGGATTGCTGAGCTGATGGACTCGTGGTGCACCTTATGGACGTCTCAGCAGTTTTAAAGAGGCCTGCGCATTGGGGATGATTTGGGTTTGGTTGGTTCCGCCACGGTTTCGTTTGATCCATTTTAGTAACGTCGGCGCATGTTCCGGATCCACTGATTACGGCTGTGAAAGTGGGGAGTCCCACCAGAGCCAGTGGTTGAGAAAAACGACAGCAAACAACACAAACACGATATTTTTTATAAGTACGTAAATAAAAAAAAAAAAAAAAAAAAAGGAGAAAAAAAAAAAAAAAAAAAAAAAAAAGGAAGAAACCAAAGGTTTTGACAAACAAAGTGCCACAAAAGATAAATATGGACCCTATTGTCATGCCTTGTACTCACAGCTGGATGGTAGGAGTCTAAGGACAAAGAGCTGGCTTGGAGGGAAGTGGTTATGAGTGATGGGCGATCCTGCCTGGACATGCGCACATGAGAGGAAGAAGAAGCTGTTTAACAAAAAAAAAGAAAAAAAAATGAACTGGTGTGATCCTGCACTGTTACTGGAGTCAGAGGAACACCACAGGGGAAATCTGAGACTCACCCTGTTTCTTTTCGATGTTTTTCAGGGCTGTGTTTTTGGTTTGTTATGGTTGTTTTCCATGGTTGTTATTTTATTTCTTCTTGCTGGTACGGAGTTTTTCATCTGTATATTATATATATATATTTTTCAAGAAAAACTTGAACACCTCAGAGACACTGAGAATGAAACACTTAGGGGAAACGGGGAGCGCCAGGAGTTTGGTGTCTTAACCCTTTCCAACTTCCCATTTAGGCATTTCTGCTTTCTCTCCACCCTCTTCTTTCCCCCATGCCCAGGATTTGAAAGAAAATCTGTGTTTTGCTTCTCTTTCATCTCCTCTTTGTTTTTTGTCTTTTTTTTTTTNCCTGATGTTTGAGCTGGTTTTGCCTTTTTGCTTGGAAAATGTGCCAGAGTCGTGATGTAAATGCGTGGGCTTCCTCCCCTGTCCCCTTCAGTGCCCTTCCCATTTCCAACCACTGTCCCAGAATCCCCCAGTCTATGAGAAGTCTTGGCATCTTTCTTCCCAGCCTCACCTGTTGAGCTAACTATTTTTTAAGTGCATGTAAAATACAACTAAAAAAACAAAGACACAAGCAGAAGAATGAGCCCTACTACAACACGGATGCTTTCTTTTCCTTTGATTTCTTTTCCCCCACCTCCCTTTCCACACTTGACCAAAAATTCCTGAGAAATAGGTAGTGTCCCACACTGCTTTTCAAGCCACATGGAGAGAACTGGAGCCAAAATTCCTTGGAGTCCRTGGACAGGCTCCTAATACCCAAAATATGCCAGATGATTGGCTGATCCTTATGGGCGTTTCTCAAAYACTGCAATCAAATAATTCATGCTGMCACTTGCAGCACCATCARAAACAGGGAAAGGGARCTCATGAGGATTCTCTGAGKTTCTACAGAGRGAGTCAAGGTTATTTCTTCACTGCAGGGTTTGCTTTGGGGCTTTGCAGCTGGGTTAGAGGAACAAAGGGTGAATGGCCCCTCTATAAACACCTCGAGTCCTCCCTGTGAGTTGGACTCACCTGTCAGTGATGGTGATTTGAGACCTGATCCATCACATCATGTGCTTGTAAGAACTGAGCCTTCCAGTGAACAGCGGGGTGGAGAAGGTTGTGTGTCTGTAATGAGGTGTTGGAAATGGTTTGTCCATCAGAGACAGCACAGGAGAGCAATGGAGGAGAAATTCAGCCACCTGAGGTCACCTTCCCCTTCCAGCGTAGAATCAGAGAATAATTTAGGTTGGAAAAGACCTCTGASATCACAGAGTCCAAATGTTAAAATATGGCCCAGTCCTTCTTTCCCACTCTCCMTTCTGTCCTGAACATATCCAAAGGTTTGGTCCAACCCAGCACACACCAGCCTTTCTCCATTAGATAAGAGGACTGTGCCAACCCTCTCCCCTGTAGTTTTACCACTGTAGTCATCTAATCTTGCCTCTTTGACACAGAAGATCATAAAAATTGCTGGGGCATGAAGCAGATTTACCAACAGARTTTTGTTTGGTAGTTGCTTGGATTGAAGAGAAATGACCAGAATTTCCAGAYCTTGTGCGTTCACCTACACGAGCTGTTTGCCATGAAGGGAAAAAGACCAAGCAAATCAGATAAATGTCACTATTTCTATTTCTAATTTTGCTGTTGAAAACTGAGAGATCAAATTTGAAGAGTCCGCTGCTCAGTCCMACTGTTGAGTCCCCTTTGAATTTCCTGGAGTCTGAGATATCTGGGAGGTAAAAATCCAAACATATAACAGCCAATACTAAGAGGAAAATTTAGAACTGAGACAAAACATGAAATGTAGATCTGTCCTTCCCCAAGGCTTTATTGAAGTGCTTTGGGGAGAGTCACTGCTTTGTGGAAGGCTCTTCCAAAGGAAAATTTGAAACCTGGAAGGACTTAGTCCCAGATCTCTACTAAGTGGGACATTTGTGTCTGTACAAAGGACACTCAGAATCATGGAATCACAGAATTGATTTGGGTTTGGGTTGGAAGGGATCTTAAAGATCATCTCATTCCAACATCCCTGCCATGGGCAGAAATGCCTGTCCCAGGCTGCTCCAAGCCCCTTGGACCCTTCCAGGAATGAATGTCCATAAGTCCAAGAATCACTTCACACAATAATAAGAAATGTCTGGGTTGCTGGGGATGACCAGGACTATYCTCTCACATCACCAAAGCTTCAGGCAAACAAGCCTGCTTCCCCCTTCCCAGCAGCCTGTTTGAATTACTCCCAAAGCAGCTTCAACTGACACTGTGGACACATTTCTTGGTGCTGTAGAAAGAATGAGAGACAGGAARAATTCTGATTCTCCTTCCCTAATTCCTGAGGTAGGCTCTGGTGTGTAAGAGCTTTGCACCTCCATTGGAATCCTTTGCTTTCAGTGGTGGCCAATGTGATGGGAGCAGATAAGGATTTTACTGGAGCCCCACCAGTCCCAACAAGGTGGCTTTTGTCCCTTTCTTCTCCCTGCTTCAGCACTTAAATGTGGAAGCCAGACAGATAGCACTGCATGGAAATGTGATTGTGGTTTGGCCAGATTTGTGTTGGGTTTGGGTAGCTCACCAAAAATTGCACTCAGGAACYCTGTGTGCTTGTTCCCAGCCCTTGAATGAGGAATTTGATACAAAAATCCAACTCTCAAACCAGTATTGTTTAAACCTCTGAAATTCTGATAACTTCCCCACCCTGGGATTATCAAGGGACTCCAGGAATGGGTCTCTTTCCCCTAACTGGGAAGTCAGGATCATTTATAGGATCACAGTAAATAATGTTTTTATATCGGCAGGTGCCTCACTGGGTAAAGAAATAYTGGTGTGAAATCAGAATCCCAGAATGGYTGGGGTTGGAAGGGACCTTAAARATCATTCAGTGCCACYCCTGCCATGGTCAKGGACACCTTCCACTGTCCCAGGGTGCTCCAAGCCCYRTCCARCCTGGCCTTGGRCACTCCCAGGGATCCAGGGGCAGCCMCAGCTTCTCTGGATGGCCACACAGCCTTAATAATTCCAGGACAATTTGCTCTGGGCATTTGATGAGCAGTCAGAGTTGTTCTCCAGGGCACGGGAAGGTTTTGGGATGTCCTCTTGCCATCCAAACTCTGTGGGCTGTGGAGCAGAAAACTGGTGACACATGTGAACCTCAATGTCATGGTGTAAAGCTCAGCCTCCTGCCCATTCCCAGCCTGAATTTTCCTGCTTTGCACCTGGTGTAGCTCCCGTTTCAGAGCAGTGTTTGGTCCATGGAATCCTGCAGTTTTCCCTCAACTCTGTGCAATGCCCCTTACTCCAAAAAAAATTGTGTTGTCTTATTGGGAATAACTATTTTGTGGAGAATGCTTTGAAAATGGAGCTTGTCAACCGTGTTTTGTTTGGGATGGTTCAGTTCTCTACATTTGGAGAAGCACCCAAAGGGACACAGGCTTACAGCAAAAAAAAAAAAAATCGTAGAAAGATGTCAAAAAAACTAGTCAAAAAAACCAAACAGGATTTACTCTTGGAAAAATAAACCCACCAAAAACCCCACTGAATTATAAAGCTGCTTAGTCTAACCAACCTGTCACGTGTGTGATTTCTGTTGTCGTCGTTGTTTGTTCATGGTTTGGTTGGTTTTGGTTTGTTGTTTTTTTGGTTTGTTTTGGTTTTTTTGTTTTTTTTTTAATCTGTTCTAAAAAATGGAGAGTTTACCTCAAGAAATTCTTTCTGCTTGGAAACAGATCACCTCAAAGATGCTTGCAGCAGTGCAGGGAAGCTCAGTAAAGCAAACCTGGGTGTGGAAAAYAGAGGGAAAACCAGGACATTCAGGCTCTTTTCAGCATTCCCTCCTCTCACTGGTGTGGTCTGGCATTCCCCAGTGGAGAGGCTGCTGTTTGCTTTCAGAGCCAGGTGGAGAAACCAAGGCCCATGTCCAAGCTTGAAGTCCTTTCTGGAGTACCTTAAGAGAAACTTGGTGTTCTTTAAAATTTCTATGCTGCTCTTTCTCCATTCCCTGGAGAAATTCCACTTTCCAGCCGAGGCTGGGGTAAGGAAGCAGAAAGATTAGGTGCTAGCTAAATGCTCCCAGTGTTCTCCCCCAGGAATTGAGAGGCAACTGGATTATTTAAGGTCACAAGAGAGGCCCTTCCTTGTGTCTGACCCCGTGTCTTGGACATACACGTGAGCCCAGAAGTCTCATTCTCTGTTTTGCTAAAGCTTCCACCTTAAAAAGACATTTCCTTTCACCACAGTGTTACTAACAGCCTCGAAGAGATGTCAAGACAGCAGTAGAAAGGAGGTTGGGATCCTTTTTCTTAGGTTGTTGTTGTTGTTGGTTTGATTTTCTTTTGAATTGATCCTAGTTAAAAAAAAAGAAATAAATAAAATCTATACTATTTAAATTGGAATCCCGTTGTTACTTGGTAAAGGCAAAGCTTCTGTACCTTTGTTATAATTAATTGTATACCTGTGTATGTAAATATAAGGCATTCCTATTTTGCAGTCCAGAACAAAAAAGAAAAAAAAAAGAACCTATTTGTAATATAGAATAAAGTTTATTAAAAAAAATAAAGAAATAAAAATGCCCCAGGCTGTGATTGCTGCTTCCTGTGCCAAATGGAGCCAGAGGGAGGGAATTCAAGTGAAGGAAATGCTGGAAAAGACTTTAAAGTTCATCAAGTCCAAAAGTTCCTTCCTTCCTTCCTTCCTTCCTTCCTTCCTTCCTTCCTTCCTTCCTTCCTTCCTTCCTTCCTTCCTTCCTTCCTTCCTTCCTTCCTTCCTTC